TCTCGGGTCTAGAGAGAAGTCAGGAGAAGAGCCAGGACTGTTGCAAAGAGCCCGTCTTTGAACCTGTGGTGCTCAAAGACCCTCATCCTCAGCTACCCCGGCTACCATCCCAGCCCCAGGCGGAACTCCAGCTCCAAATTCCATCTCCAGACCCAGACTTGGTCCAGCGCACGGAGGCTCCGCCCCAGTTTCCTCCTCCAAGTACACAGCCAGCCCAAGGTCCCCCAGAAGCCCAGCTGCAGCCTGCCCCACAGCCTCAGGTGCAGCGGCCACCCCGGCCACCACAGTCCCCCAGTCATCTGCTCCAGCAGGCCCTTCCTCCTCCAGTTCAGTCTCATCCCTCTTCTCAGAGCCTCTCGCAGCCACTGTCAGCCTACAACAGCAGTAGCCTGAGTCTCAACAGCTTGAGGTGAGTGACCTTATCTTCCATGGGGCAGGGGTCACTAGTGTATGTTTGCAACTTGCCCTGGTTTTTAGTCAGTGAGATTGAAAGACAGGGAAAGGAACTGTTGGTGGAGTGTGGGTCTCTTGGATTGGGTGTTGAGGACAAGGTGAAGTTGAAATAAAATTCCTTCAGGGACTTGAGGTAATAGAAAAAGGAGGGAAAGGTGGCTTCAAAAAAAAAGTTGGAGGAGCTAGGCATGGCAGCACATGCCTTTAATCCCAGCACTCAGGAGGCAGAGGCACAGATCTGTGAGTTCGAGGCCATCCTGGTCTACAGAGCAAGTGCCAGGACAGCCAGGGCTAGACAGAGAAACCCTGTCTCAAACAAGTAAACAAACAAAAGTTAGAGGTTGTACCAGGGCACCCATGCAGAGAGCAGGGGTTGGAGCAGGGCAAGCATGCTGAGGCACACCTGAAGATTTTTCCTCAGAGAGTCTCGAGGAGGGAGGCTCTATGCCTCTTTGGGGGCTGCATTTTAAGAAAGCTATGCTGGTGTTTCCAGAGGCCTCGGACCCTAGGAGTTTGGGTTCTTTTGTTAGAGGATCTTTCTACCACTGTGCTGCACCAAGCCTCGTTGAAAGAGGATTCCTGATGGAGAGCCAGGTTCCCTTATGACTTCATCAGGCTTCCCAAAGGACAGCTGACACAGCTGCACAAGCGATACCTGCCAAGAAGAGGGGGAGATCAGCCTCCGGGGTCCTAATTCTAACTCCACCACTGTCCCCAGGCTCCATCTTTGTTACTGCCTTCCATTTTTGCAGCAGAAATAAGAGGGGTCCTAACATTGAGGCAGGAGGAGCCACCTGAATTTGCTGTGGGGGTCCATCCAGAAATGGAACAGTAGCTCCTGGCTTCTGTATAGAGTAGCCAGAGTGGTGCACACCTGTCTGTGGTTCACAAGGCTAATGGGTGCCAGGGAACAATGATGAAGAGGAAAGGCTATAGGCAGGGAGATAGGATTTTTAAAATTTCATTTGTGTATTTATTTGCGTGTGTGTGTGTGTGTGTGTGTGTGTGTGTGTGTGTGTGTGTGTGTGTGTGTGGTGTATACTTGTGTGAGCACGTATATGTGGTGCACTTGCCTGTCATCCATGCCAGGTATGGTGGTCAGAGGGTATGCTGTAGAATTTGGTTCTCTGCTTTCATCATGTGGATCTCAAGAGATTCAACTCTGGTCATTGGACTGTTGGCAAGAGCCTTTGCCCATTGAGCTATCTCACCAGCCAAGTACTGACTCCTGCCTCCCTCCCTCCCTGGGGATATAGCTCATTTGGTAGAGTGGTTGCCGAGAGGACATGGAATCTTGGGTTCCATCCCCAGCACTGTATAAACTGGGCATGGTGGTACACAGCTGTGATTCCAGCACTGAGGAAATGGTGCCTGAGGGTTATGAGTTCAAGGTCATCCTCTGATGTATAATTAGATAAGACCAGCCTGAGCTACAGGAAACCTGTCTCAAGAAAAAGTCTTTTACTGTAATAAAGAAAACAAAAATCAGACAACTAAAAAGGAATTGCTGACTTTCTCCCTTTTCTTTCTTATTCTAACAGCAGCAGCAGAAGCAGCACTCC